GGTGTGCGAAGATTCCGTGCGACGACCATAGTTTTGCGAGGATTCACGTGATTCGCTTTAACTATAAGGTGCTGTGGGAAATACTGATATCTCCAGTACTGTCCTCTACTGCGACACACAACCTGTGATGTGAGGGACCAGAACTGAACCAGGACTAAAACAGATCTAAATCAAGTCTAAACCAGAACTAAACTAGGATGGGTGTCGGGACGGGCCTAGAGGTGCGCCTGTGTAGACAGTTGGGTGACCGCAGAGCTGTACGCAGCCGTTGCCCAATCGAGCTTTGTGGACATCCTGCTCCACAGACTCGGGGTTCTCTCTCTAGTCCTGATTTAGACCTGGTTTAGACCTGGTGTAGTCCTAGTGTAGTCCCAGTTAGACCTCACTTAAAAAATTCCCACTACACCACTGATAATTAATAATAGTAATACATAGTACTAATAATTTTGATTGGCATAGCCCACTGCAGATGCAATTTGCTGCTTTGACTGGTTTGCTCTCTGACTGTCCAATCAGCAGGTCTGAATCCGGTGACACCGTACTCCTGCTAGAAGGCCCTGGTGACCCCAGCTCAAAATCTGATTGGTTGAAGCAGCAATTTCATCGACATTTATTTTGTGTTCGAGGGCCTGTAGAATGGATTTTGAAGGCCTCAGGCTGACTTCTTTGACTTTGACTCTGCCTAGCAACAAGTGAGGTTTGAAATGTGATTGGTCAAATGTTTTAATATGAGCTTCACGTGCTTGATTCAAGGAAAGAGATGTTTAATGTCATATTACGGAACATTTCAGCAATAGCACTTCCATGGAGACAAGCAGACGACCTTCCCCCAGAAAAGTTACTTTAAGTGTATCTTTAAGTAACAAAATTGAGTACTTCTTCTACCACTGGTCAGCACGACATTCCTACAATACTCCACCTCACCCTTATGTAACAGATAATACTCCTACAACTGTACAACCTCACCTATGTACAGATAATACTCCTACACTGTACAACAACTCACCCTTATGTAACAGATAATACTCCCTACAACTGTACAACAACTCACCCTTATGTAACAGATAATACTCCCTACAACTGTACAACAACTCACCCTTATGTAACAGATAATACTCCCTACAACTGTACAAAAACTCACCCTTATGTAACAGATAATACTCCCTACAACTGTACAACAACTCACCCTTATGTAACAGATAATACTCCCTACAACTGTACAACAACTCACCCTTATGTAACAGATAATACTCCCTACAACTGTACAACAACTCACCTTATGTAACAGATAATACTCCCTACAACTGTACAACACCTCACCCTTATGTAACAGATAATACTCCCTACAACTGTAACAACAACTCACCCTTATGTAAAACAGATAATACTCCCTACAACTGTACAACAACTCACCCTTATGTAACAGATAATACTCCCTACAACTGTACAACAACTCACCCTTATGTAACAGATAATACTCCCTACAACTGTACAACAACTCACCCTTATGGAACAGATAATACTCCCTACAACTGTACAACAACTCACCCTTATGTAACAGATAATACTCCCTACAACTCATTATGTAACAGATAATACTCCCTACAACTGTACAACAACTCACCCTTATGTAACAGATAATACTCCCTACAACTGTACAACAACTCACCCTTATGTAACAGATAATACTCCCTACAACTGTACAACAACTCACCCTTATGTAACAGATAATACTCCCTACAAACTGTACAACAACTCACCCTTATGTAACAGATAATACTCCCTACAACTGTACAACAACTCACCCTTTGTAACAGATAACCCTATGTCCTGTCAATCATCACATCATCTTTGCATTGTTTTTTTTACATTTATATAATCATGGCTTATTTAACACCAGTCCCTTGCTATTTTTGGAACTTATTTTGAATTTATTATTACTGTTTTATATATTTTTTCTCTTGTTATTATGTTATATTGCAATGTGTGAGCTACTGTGTCCAAGTAATTTCCCTTGTGCATCAGTAAAGTCTAGGTTTAAGAGTAACTAGCTGGAGGATTGTGCCTGTTACGTGGAGAGATCATTTCCATAATGCCCCCTGCGCTGTATGCTGTTGGTATGGCCTTATTGTACTGTATATCCACATGTATTCTGCTAAGGCCAAGTCCGTGTGTGTTGACCTGTCTTTTATCGATCAGGGACTCGGGGGAGAGACCGGTAAGCCTGCCATCGATCCACACACATAAAAAATACTCTTTTAAATGTCAAGGGAAATCATTTTCTACAACAACATAACACACACAATATATATATATATATATATATATATATATATATAATATATATATTATATAATGTCCAAAAAGGATATACTCAGCTATGTAAAACGTGTTTAGTGATGTGGTATGTGCTATTTTCTGAATTTTGTTAAAATGTTGTTTCCTCATCACAAACATACCTAGTTTTGTGTTTTGTTTCGTTCACATTCATTCATTTAAAGCACAAACCCTGCATATTTAGGCTCAAACAGAAAACATGCGCTTTCCAATTTGTGATGTCATGTGGTAGTACAGGAAATGCTCTGTGGTGTTAAAGTTCATACACCTTCACTAGAATCATTTTGGCGATCTCAGCCCAGGAAATGCCAATCTCTGCTGAACAAAAGGTAAAAGTAGCTGTTCACTTGAAAACTATCCAAAAAATCCTTACGCTCTTTCATTCTTATTGTGGTTTATTTTGTACAATCATAAACGATAAGCTTTTGTGCCTTTGTTAACATTATTATTAGTTTGTATGAGCACAAATGAAAAAAAATAAAATAAAAATCTAAACTGTCATCTTTAAAAAATTAAGATAAGAACTAAGAAAAAATGTGATTGTATTTCTGTTACAGGGGTTTGTTTATGGAACAACCTGAGAATAAAGCATTATGTTTTGAAAGATGGAATGAATGAATTATGCATTAAATTTAGTTTGTTTTAATTTATATTTTTGTTTCTTATATGTACAGTGAGTCATAAGTCAAGTTGTAAATGCAAACTTATTGCTCATGCACTGCTTTCTTTCTTGGAATTATTTTATTGTTGAATAAGGTTTGGTACTTTTGCTTCAGCTTAAACCAGGGCTGTCAAATTTATATTCACAGAGGCCAAAATTAAAAACTGGGACTAAGTCGTGGGCCAAACTAAATATTTATTGAAAAATTTCAACAAACATCTGCATGTTTTCTCTTCTTTCAAGATATGTAATGTTGAACCTCTTCTTATTAAAATAAATGTTTCATAATAATTTTGCTTAAACATTGAATCCAGAACAAGCATAATATAAAATAACAACAAAATTTTAAATAAATAATGTCTCTATATTCTATCTGTAGCCGGCAGGGCAGCTCTAATACATATTTGATATGATCTCGCGGCCCAAATATAATTATATCGCGGGCCAAATTTGGCTCTCAGGCCTGAGTTTGACATGTCTGTCTTAGACCCTTTCTGTCATGATCCATGCAGTTAGGGTCTATGTTTTGTTTTTGTCTTGTAAAGTTGCAAAATGACCCAATTAAAAAAAAAAAAAAAAAAAAAAAAAGCAAACATTAAAACTATAACTTGAAAAACTATCACTTCATGACATCACAATTTGGAAAGCTGTAATTTGAGCTTTGGACATGTAGACAAACTATAACCCTCTGAGACCCACAGTTGCAGAATTGCAACATTTACTTAGAGCAGTCTAGTAGTGCCTCACATTGACTCAATGTAACAAAAACTGCATATCCCAGCACCCAACACTCTGCATTGCAAAATGATACATTTTTGGCGGGAAAATATTAATACTGGAGGGAATATCACATTCCAAAAGTCAAATGACATGGCTGCCCTCTACTGAGTACCCAACTCTCTGTTCTGGATCAGATTTTAACAGTTGTAAAAGTAAGTATACAATCTGTAATATTTTTTTCTTTCATTCTGAACATGTTTAGTGTTAGAAAAGTTAAATAACTTTTTCAAAAAGTTAAATACAGATGATTTAGAGTGATTTATGTAAATGTTGCAAAAACGCAACACTGGGTTACAAAGGGTGCCCCTTTTACACAGAGAAGCCCTTATTCCTGAGTGTTGAGCCAATAGTATAGATGGATATGTGTGTGTGTTTGTAGTTATGTAGTATATAAAATTGTATAATTTACTTTTCAGGATGCCATTGATCAAGAGAGGAAAGACATTTTCAGTTACTGATGTTCTGGAAGCCATTTTAAATGGAGACAACAGTGATTTTGAGATAGAGTCAGAGAACAGCGATAGTGATGAAGAAGATACAGCACAGCATTCAGACATTTCAGCTGACGAGGAAAGTGAAGATGAAAATGAAACAGAAATTCAGACAGGACAGCAGACAGAAAGTCTCAGCAGTGACAGTGAGGATGTGCCTTGTACAACACAGTGCAGGAAGAATTCAGAGGGCAGAGAACTTCGCTGGCTTAAAAAAGAGTTTGTAAATCCAGAAACAACTTTCACAGGTGCTGATTTTGCAGCCTCCTCCAACTATGAACTACAAACCCCACTGCAGTACTTCCAGAGATTTGTGTCCCAGGAGATGCTTTACAACGTGATGGTCAAGAGCAATGAATACAGTCTCCAGAAACACGGGACAGTTGCTGACATATCTTTAAAGGATTTAGAACAAATGATAGGCATGTACTTGCATATGGGTATAGTTCAGATGCCTGGTGTCTGGGTTTACTGGGAAACTGACACACGGTATGGCCCCATAGCTGATGTGATGACTCGCAACCGTTTCCAGTGCTTGCTTTCGTCCATCCACTTTGTGGACAATCTCACTGTTACAGATGAACAGAAGCAAGATAAACTTTGGAAGATTAGGCCATGGTTGGAGTCATTCAGGGAGAAGTGCCTACAGATAGTGCCAGAGGAGCATAACTCCATTGATGAGATGATGATTCCTTTCAAGGGAAGGTTCAGTGGGATCAGACAGTATATGCGTGGGAAACCACATCCCTGGGGCTTCAAGATCTGGGCAAGAACCGGAATCTCTGGCATGCTCTGTGACTTTGATGTGTACCAAGGGAGTGTGCAGGGTAAGCCTGCTAGGTCTGAGCTTGGCATTTCAGGAGATACGGTCATGAGGCTTGCATCAACACTACCTACAGGGCAAAACTACAAGGTGTATGCAGACAACTTTTTCACCTCTGTGCCTCTGCTTGTTAAACTGCTGGAGTGTGGCATACACTTTGTTGGCACTGTTCGTCCTGGGCGTGTGCCAAACCTCAGGTTAGCAGAAGAGAAGGAGCTGAAAAAACAAGGAAGAGGAAGCTTTGACTTCAGAGTGTCACAAGAACACAACATCTGTGCAGTGAGGTGGTATGACAACCGGTCGGTCACACTTCTCTCCACTTTTGATGGTCCAAACCCAGTTGACAAGGTTGCACGATGGAACAAATCCACCAAGTCCTTCACTGAAGTGAGAAGACCATCAATTGTGAAGACATACAACAAATTCATGGGTGGGATCGACTTGCTGGATTCCTTCACTGCCAAGTACAAGTTCCACATGAGGTCCAAACGGTGGTACATGTACATCTTTTGGCACACAATCATCATTGCTGTGGTAAATGCTTGGCTGCAATACAAGCGCGACTGCAGGACCCTGCAGATCCCTGTGAAGGAAGTGCTGAACAGGAGACGGTTCCAGGCACAGCTCTCTGCATCTCTCATCCAAACTCACACTATAAAGAGAGGTAGACCTTCAATGAATGAGGAAAGATCACAACTAAGTGTTAAAAAAAAGGTGTACAATGCTCCCCCTCCTGATGTCCGAAAGGACTGCATTGGACACTTTCCTCATAAAGATCAAAAAAGAGGCCGGTGCAGGTACTGCAAGAGCGGATACACATCCACCTGTTGCATGAAGTGCAATGTCCGCTTGTGCTTCACAGATGACAAAAAACTGCTTTCTTCAGTTTCATATTTGATGAATGACAAGATAATGATGAGATGTTCTTGTTCATATACAGGATTGTTGTATTAAATATATGTTTTGAGTTAAAAACAAAACATTAAATTCTCATGTTTCTCCTGTTTAAACATTAAATCAAATTTTATTAATCTTTAAACATTAAATTTTGAGTTCAAAACAAAACATTAAATTATCATATTTCTCAGTTTAAACATATTAAATTTTGAGTTCAAAACTGTATATTAAATTCTTATGTTTCTCATGTTTAAAGTCTTATTAGTGCTGATCTGTATAAAAAAAGTGTGTTTTCAATTAAATTCATTCATTTAAAAATATGTTTTCATTTTATTGAGTGAGCAATAACTAACACAAAGTTGGCTTTTATTAAATGTGAAGTTGTAATATTTGTAACCACTAAAGCCCGCTGTTGCAATTTTGCAACATTTCCACAGATTCCTCAAAAAAAAGAAAAAAAAGAATTATTTTCTGCATTAGAGGCTTAGTAAAAGCATTTTAAAGAGGGTTAAAAAAAAAATTCATTCAGGAAATGAATGCTTGGGTCTCAGAGGTTAAAGGATTACTCAAACATGTTGAATGAAACAAAACACAACCCCAGGTCTGTTTTGAGGAGATAAAACAGTATAACATGGATAAAAAGCTCACAAAGAAATAGAGTAAAATAACAATAATACAAACAAAAAACTACTTACACGTGACCTTGTATTTCCACAAACCTGACCCCTGCCCCACCTGCTTGTTCCCATGTCGATGTCCTTTTGCTTTAGACTCATCTATCTCCATGAAGAATATTCCAAATATGGTTTAAACTGTGTTTCCACGGAATTATGCAGGTAACATGCACCTGCAAAAAGTTGCACAGTATTTTAATTGCAAAACAGCCATACCGTGCACTTTTCAGAACGTGTCAGGATGGGCAAAGGTTTGATCTCTGACCTCAACCAACCAGACCAAGTTACAGGTCAGATCTGTGGAGAGACGACCACACTCACCGTTAGAATGTTTGTTATTCTAGGTATTTTTGAGCTATACAACCACCCGTAATTTAATAAATGTAAAGATGAGCTGTTTAATGTCATACTGTAAAACATTCCAGCCAAAGCAATGACAAAGTTACACAGTGCACCTTTAAACGTCTGCGTCACTACCTCCCTGAGGCCGGTAAAACCACATTATGAGTCCATTGTTCTTCATTCTAAAGGTGATTTCATGAAGTCTCAGTGGTGTTGGCGATGACGCAGGTGCACTCCTCAGAGGGTTAGACCTGTTTAGAGCAGTGGTCTCTTTTAAACCCACCATATGGTAATGTAATGTGATGGAAATGTGCAGACACCTGGAGCTGCCCTGAGCTCTGGGACAGAACCAGTCAAACACAACATTATTCCTGCAAAGATGGAGACTGGGGACACACAAGAGTACGGAGCCCGCCCGATGACGTATGCGAAAAAAGATATTAAATCGTGGCCTCAAATTACTATTTCGTTCCCACAATATATAATTCGTTCCCACACTTTAGCTAAATCGTTCGCACGTTTTAGATATATCGTTCGCACGTTTTGATTAAATCGTTCCCACATTTTAGCTAAATCGTTCCCACGAATTAAGAAAATGCCGCCAATTAAACAAACAGGGCGTGGTGTTCGGTTGATTTGGCAAGTCCTTCTTGCATGGCTAGCTGGACCTCGGACTTCAGCAGACACAAATAAAGGTAAGATATATCATTATTTATATGTTTCCCCCCCATTTTTGACAACGTATATTGTTCGATACTCAAATGTATGCTTATGTAAATGTAGGCTTATATAAAATCCAGGATCGTGTAGTAGCGTGGCATAGTGTGCATGCTATAGCTAAATAAGAAAACAAAACAAAATGCTAGCTTAAATACTAGCGAGCTAATGCTGCTTGCTTATAGTGGAAATGTTATGGAGTAAAGTGACAGTAAAATTGTCCTAATTGTTTACCGTCTGTTCATGTAGCAATAGATGCTCAACTGCTGCTTTTTTGAGGGAGCGTAACACAGAGGAGGGAGTCATCCAGACACTGAAGGATGAAAATGTAAGTTTCTCTGTTTTTTCCACCTCAGAACATTGATCTCGTAACATCTATAGCCTACAGTACAAGTGCCAAACACACATCCATGTAGAATGTAAGATACCGATTTGGATGAAATGCGAATAGACCTGTATAGACCCAGTGTTAGCCCCAATTTCGTCTTAGCGTTAGCCATCTATCACCACAAACTATGACGTACCAGGACTGTTTTGAAGACTTACAACCACTCAACTACACGTGAGTAACACCAGAGCCTGATAGAAATCACTGCCACATGTAGAATTGTTTTTGCATTGTTCATAGACGTAGCGATTAGCATCGAAATGAAGTTATATGCTAACGACCACGTAATAAACATTTCGTAAATCTAACGCTATGCTGGACAATAATACGCTAAAAAATAAAGAGGGCCACAACAGTTTGACAAGAAACCCCTCGATTTATTTCATCCAGAGCCACATAAATCCTGCATACAGTGAACTTTAAAGACTAGTGCTTATTGACACATGTAAGTAGACCGTGTCCTCAGCATCAAGCACCTCACTCCTGGAATAACTCTGGCACTTTGTGTCAGGACCTGATAAAACTTTTACATTTATTGTCCTGAGTATATATTTAATGAATACCTTTATACATGGTTATGCTATTACCATGATACAATGTGTAACACACGTGAAGACAGAGGCCAGAACTTTGTAACTTTTGTAACAGTGTGACTGAAGAAATAGGAGTAATAGGGCTACAGAAAGATATTGTATGCACCATCACGTTGCCCAGATCTCTCACTTAACAAGATCTTGATTCTTGCTAAAATATACATCGACTGTTGGTACACTTCATAATATAGAACAATGTACTAAAACATGTTAACGTAATAAACTGTATTCCAGATAGTAGTGTCCTGTTACATGCCTCCTTAAGATATAAATTATTTTGCAATTTCAAGACAAGTCAACTGCTTTTGGAGTGATCTGACTGTGTGATGAAAGCAATACCATGTAGAAAAAAGTCAATGGGTGAAACAGCGACATTTTCATATTTTAATTGAACTTGTATACTGTATAGTTGACAATGTCAGTTTTATGCTATTAGTTATAGTAAGGTTTGTTAGAAACACTTTTCAAAATAGTTTTCTAGATAGCCAAACATCCACCGTTTAGAATAAATAGAAAAACTGGCAAAGGACAAATTCAATTTGTCAAACAGACTAAAGCTTTTTTGAGTGAAAACGTTTCGCAGCTTATCCAAGCTGCTTCTTACTTCTGGTCAGATGCTGGTGGATATTGCCTTATATTTGCCTGAAGGGAGGCACTAACTACACAGAAACTACTTTGAAAGTAACACACCTACTTGTTTACAGTTTTTGTTAGTAAGTGCAGTACAGTAGACAAAGCTAACAAATAGAAACTGTAAACAAGTAGGTGTGTGCATTTCAGAGTAGTTTCAGTTTTTGAACATTTTCAATCAAAACAAACTTTTGTCTAGTTGACAAATTGAATACTTTGCTATGGATTAGGGATTTTACAAACAAATAGGAAAACTGTTAGGAAAAGCTAGAAAAACAGCTATGAACATAAATTTAACTGTAATAAGTCACCCACCCATCACCCACTTTGTCCACTTTCTTTTTGTTTCATGTGCGGACGAAGAGGAGGAGGAGGAGGAGAAGGAAGAAGAGGGTCCGAGGGTCCCGCATCATTTTGAGATGAGTTTTTGACAAAGACTTGAATGTATGGTTTCTTTTCTTGAAGATGCTACTTAAGTGTGCTGCTTATTTCCTGCAGAAAAGTGACGATGGATATTCATTCTGTCAGCAACTTTTGGGATGTACTTTGCAGGTCATGGTCAGTCATTAATGGAATGAATCTGAAAAAAAAAATAAAGAGAATGTATTAAATCATATAATCAAGCATACAAATGAACACACCAAGGCTTCACATTTGTGGCACCCTGGACATATTTGCTATAAAAAGACACCCCACAATAAATTTTTATTTGGTAATGTTCTGACTGTATTTTGGTTAATTTATGTGTGGCACTAATTCACTTTTTAATTATTCTTATAATTAAAATACCAAATATAATTAATACAAAATTAATCCAGTAGGTGTTGGTAATGGCACAATGACCTTTGTTTATATTATTGTATTACTATTGTGTATAATATTAATGTATAATTCCAGTTTATATTGCATATGTAATTTCAAGTGCAGGTGGTACAAAGTATTAAGTATGGGGTTGCTTTTATGGGCTTACTTTTTATAGGGTTACTTTTGTCTCATTAATATTCACAAATGCACAGATGGTGATCTACAAATAGTCATTGGTTTGTACGTTTTTTTGATGTCCACAAATGCCAATTTAATATTTGTAACTTGTATTTTGCTATTTACAAATAGATGGGCATTTGTAAATATATATTTTTTCATTTGCAAAAAATAATTTCATTTATAAAACTGAAAATTCTGTTTGTAAAATGTGATTCGCATTTGTGGATCACCAGTTCCATGAATCCACCGATTCCCGGTATGACATAATTTTGAGACGCTCAAACTCATAACAGATCCACAAATACACGTTCTTGACCAGCAGGTGGCAGCAGCTGGCACGCGAAACATTTGACTGTTGAAATGGAAGCGTTTCTTGCTAACTTAACGTCACTTAGGCAAATTTTTACCTTTATCAAACGCCTCAACAGCTGAGGACTAAACCAGAACTGAACCAGGACCGAGTGTCTGAACGACCGGAGTTGTGCCCGCGGTGGCGGTGGGTGGACCGGCTCAGAGCTCCGCGCCCCGCGGGGCTAAACGCTGCCCTCACCGAAACGCGCTCCGCGGATTTGTGGTCCTCTTTCTCTCACTCGCTCGTTCGCTCGCGCTCTCTCTCTCGCCTTCTTTCTTTCAAGTCCAGG